AGATAATCATAGAAACGAATAAATCGATGGGGATATAACAAAACTAGGGAAATAAGTTATAATCAATGTTTACACATAAAATGACAAGCATTAGCTGCAAGAAGTGGCTAACCTTGCACGATCATTAACAAGATAGTCTTGCAAACCAATATTGAGAGATAAAAAGTGCGATCTTCAATGCGTGCCTGTTTTTTTTTATAGTTTCTGATGGGACGAAGCTAGGTTGGCTTAAAGAGGCCGCTTATGTTAGCTCGCAAGATTTGGCTTACTGTCTAGTGAAAGAGGCATTTATCGTCTAATCAACGACATTAAGTAGCGTCGGATTCGTTCAGTTCTTAGGTAATCGTTTCAGAATATACAAGGTACGGTGGCAAGCGTCTGATAATCGTTATTTCATATCAGTGATGAAAAATGGATTCGTGCAAATGAATCCTGTAAGTTTTAAATATACAATCCTTCCTTAGATCTTATAGACTGAGTCTACAGAATAAAAAGAAAGAACTTTACCAAATATAAAAAAACGCATGATTTAAAACTTTCAACAGTGGCAACAACTAATATGAATAGCAACGTATCTAGAAGGGTACATAACGAAGATCTTGATTTTTTTTATATTCGTGGCTATCCCTTGAGGTCGAACATAATGGTTTTTTTTTATTGCTTCAGTCAATTGAGTTTGAGGACTCCATAGATAAAGAGACCATTTTTTACTTGAAAAGTTTGTCGATATTGAGGGCAGATTGTTCCGTATGGTGCTCTGGGAAATAATTGCTGTTCACTATTTACATTATTCGGACTATTATCCTCATCTTTGTCGCCATATTTATTACAACGTTTCGGCCGTTCTACGCTCCGGCCTTCTTCAGGTGGTTGGAATGTCGAACTGAACCCTTTAATTCGTTCACTGGGGTAGACTGTTCTAGTCCTCTTTTCAAATTCTCCACCGCCTTAACCAGGTATTGAACTCACATTTTTGGGTACTGTCACTGGATCTAACTAACGCCTTTATCCACTGAGCCATCTGAACTTGGAGAGGTGAATTAACAGGAGACTGTTCTAGTTCCACTTGCCATATTTAATGGATGTCAGTTATCAGCTATCTCCTGTTAATTCACCCCTCCAAGTTCAGATGGCACAGTGGATAAAAGCGTTAGTTAGATCCAGTGACAGGACCCCAAAATAGTCTGAATAATGTAAATAGTGTACATAATACCTCATCTCAGAAATATAGACAGATACTGAAGGGCCGAAACGTTGTAATAAATATGGCGACAAAGATGAGGACAATAGTCCGAATAATGTAAATAATGTACCTAATACCTCATCTCAGAAATATAGACAGATACTGAAAGGCCGAAACGTTGTAATAAATATGGCGACAAAGATGAGGACAATAGTCCGAATAATGTAAATAGTGTACATAATACCACATCTCAGAAATATAGACAAATAATTGTTGTTGCCTTTCTTTATGACTTCATTTTCTTTCTTACATTTCGGCTCATCGTTTGGATTTAAAGATTGTTTTACTATAAAAATACATTTTTATAGTAAAAAATGCCAGTAATACACTTTCACAAAATCTACGAACACTACATTTTTATAGGAAAATGGCGAGATGACCAAATGAATATAACATTACAAAACTACAAAAATAGATTTTATAGAAAAATTACCAGTAATACATTTAAAAAAACCACCAACAATACATTTTATTATCTAGAAACTATATATCTAAAAAGCACGTTTGCTCTGAAAGTATATTATTTAAAAAATATCTGTAGTGTAAGGAACAGAATTGCGTTAAAAATATTTAGATTTTGGCATTAAATAACCTATCGAGGTGTTGATGTGCTGCTCATAAAAAAACCCAACTAAACAAACAATATTGCCAAAGGTAACACGCTAAACTAGTGTTTCTCAACTTTGTTTTTAATTCAAGGCGTACTTGTAGAATAACAAATTCTCCCTGAAATTCATACAAAATTATGGATACTTGTTGTCCCCAAATCTCTCTGTAATCAACCAGTTCGTACTTGTTTAAACAGCCGATGTATAAACAGAAATGTGTCCAACGGAAGATATAACTTCCCATATCAGCAAATGTATTGAGCATGATTGGAATTTAAATGGAAATAAAAAATGAAAGCCCATCGGTTAGTATCGATCTGTTTTCTGCGTCATATGAAAACGAGGCCTTTCTTCCTATCCAAAGGATCGTCTTGTGTGCGAGTCAAAAACGATTGATTCGTTATGAAGCCGACACTTGGCCGTTTCGAAATGACAGGGAATAGAGCAGAGAAAGAGATAAATGAAACCTAAAAGATCAATTTAGCTGCAAATTTAGCTCTTCAGATTTCGTTCGGTTTAGTAAAATAATGAAAACCACGATGACTTTATAAAAAACACGAGCTTGGCTGTAAAAATAACAACACCTCCAGCAAATATGTCATCAGTGATTATAGCAACGATGATGATAATGACAACACTTACACAACACAATGTTTCATCATCATTAATCAGAGAAGAACTTAATAATAACTAAATATAGAAGATTACACGTTTTGTTTTTAATACTATGTCCACTCATTAGGAAGGAAAAAAAATCCCTAATCCGTTCGAGAACAAATATTTGAGAAAGCTCCTCAGAATCTCTTGTTGGGAGCACAAAACCAGTTGCTATGTACGGAACAAGGTCAAAAAGTCTCAAGGGTTGACAGGAATCTGTTGTCACGACTATTAAGAGTCGGAGGATATCCTGGTTTGCCCACGTCACCCAGCTTAACAGCTTAACATCATGCAAAGTACTGTTGAAGGCGGATACAAGAGGAGAATCAAGAGCTGGTCAGAGAACATCAAGGAGTAAACGGACATGACAATGCCGGAACTCCTGAGGGACACCAGATCATTCTTGAGGAGGTTGTTTGTTTCTTCTTCCCTTATGTCTCCCCTACGACGATTGAAACCGTCACGAGATTGATGATGATGATGATGATGTAAACTATTGTTAATCTTAAGTCATCTTAAACTAGTGCAATTTATTTTTGTTCAATAAAAATTAGTAAATCTTTTCTTTAATACTATGTCCACGCGTCAAAAAAAAAAGGATCCAGGCGTTCGAGAACGAATCCTTGAGAAAGCTCTTCAGCATCTCCTACTGGGAGCACAAATCCAATGACTACGTACGGAACAAGGTCAAAGGTCTCGTGGGCCGACAGGAATATTTATTCACCACTATTAAGTGTCGGAAGATATCCTGCTTTGGCCACGTCACACGGCTTAACAGCCTCTGCATGACCATAATGCAAGACACTACTGAAGGCGGAAGCAAGAGGGGAATCAAAAGCTGGTCAGAGAACATTAAAGAGTGAACTGATATGACAATGTCGGAACTCCTGAGGGCCACCAGATCATCCCGGAGGAGGTTGCCTGTTACTTCTGCCCTTAGCTCTCCCCTACGACGATTGAAACAGTCAAGAGACTTCATGAGGGTCACTCGCGAGATTTGATATCACGAGTCTCCCCAGATTATTTTTTTTTAAAAGTATTTATAAATTACATATATTTTTCGAAAGTCTAATGTAGTAGTCTCCTATTGTCTTCTTAACGGATTCGAATTCAATTGTAATCGAAGGCAAGGCAGTGTTCGGTGGGCCCTGCTATTTAACCTACATGTGGAGGAATGCCACTGGAAGAGTAATGGATAGATCTTTTGCCCTATCTGTCACTTTTCCAAAGGTATTTGTACCAAAGTAAACTCAACAGACTTGCCCGGAATTCGAACTCGACTCGCCAATTTTACGCGTCGATTTCAGTTACATTAAACGCATCTTCTCGGTTATTATTGATCTGAAGACAAAAGAATAGAATTAATAACCATTGTTCAGATTCCGAATAATCATAATTACCATCTCGGCTCCCATCTCTTTCAAACAACAAGAATGGCGTTAGAAATTAAACTGACTATTTTCCGATGTCAAGTTAGAAATATCAGGACGGTTTCTAGAAGTTTGAAAAAGCAACCCTGGAAACAATCAAAATCATTAGCGAAGTGTTACAAAGAAAGAGCTTTTGTAAAAAATGTTTGCCGAAAGCTAAATTTGATTGAAATGAGTCCATTAAAACGACATCCTTACTAAAATTAGAATATTAAGCAGGGTGTTGGTGTATTGAGAAAACTTAATGTTAATTCTTTTTTTCCAAATGAAATTTACCGGATATTAATGTCGTCAACACGTTGCACCCTTATTGTTACCCTGTAGGTAACAGGTTCATCCTAACCAGCTTAGAATGTTGATTGAGGGTATTTAGTATCAGTTGATTATTATTGGATATCGGTTGAGGAAGACCTTTGACCTCACTTCCGCTGCATCAGAGAGTGAACAAAAATCGGAATGGGTGATAGCATAATCAGGAAATGGCTAAAATAATCAGGACGCACAGGTGTCCTGAGCCTTCAATAAACAGGGCGCAAAAGTGTCCTGAGTGGAAGGTAATGGGTGGGAGCATGCCGGAAGAAGCGTACCCACACGAAGCTGCATGGAAACATGGCCGGAAGAAGCATGTCCGCAAGAAGTTGCATAGGCGACATACCGGAAGAAGGCGTAGTCACGTGATGTTGCATGGGTGTCCAAATGTTATATAAAAAGGTCCAACTCTTGGTCTGGAGAGAGGCTGGCTAGAGTTTAACCAAAGATTTTGTCTCCGTCAATTCCTGTGTGTACAATCCTAACCTCTGTGATTCTCTCTCACTCTACTCAATTGCCGCAACTCGAACAATAAAGATATGTATATATCTTTACATATACGTGTTCGTTGGCTTATTTGAGTCGGGCAGCAATATATACAACAGTACCAGTGAAAGCTAGCAGATGGCGTAAAATCTTAACAAGTACATGGAACATTCAGACAAGAGCGACACCTGCATTTCTATTGGTGCAAAAATAATTGCATCATCATCATAATCATCATTATCATCTTTAAAGCAGAATACCTGAGGCTTACGATCATATCACGCTGAAACACCAATTCCCGTACGATCACTGAAGTTAGACAACGTCGAGCCAGGTCAGTACCTAGACGGGTGACCGCTTGTGAATACCAAGTGATGTAAGCTTGGATGTGCGGGTGGTGTCATGGATGATGGCTCGGAATTATTAATCGGAGAGCTGAGTTCTAATTAAATCTGCTATATTCTGTTACACGCAAATACCATTGAGTAAAGATATGACTCTATCTCTTCTTACCCTATCTATGGGTTAATTAGTAAGACTTGTATCACTAAAATATTATTATCTCACAAAAATTCTTACAATTTAAAAATATTTTCTGGCTTTAAATAACCTGCAAATGGTTGATAAGCCACAAAACTTAATCGATCAATCAATATAATCACTATAATCTAATGAATCAATCAAACTTATTAATCGATCAATCAATCTAATGAATGAATCAATAGAATACGTAAGCTTAGTGTAAAATTTATCAGTCAAAATAATTAAAATCTACATATTGTGGCTAGCAATAAACAAGTCTATTTAATCTAGACGTATAGAATTCCGGGCTCATGTAACTGAGAAGGTATTTTGATCTGTTTGTTGATTATCAGACTTTTCAGGATATTTTCAAAGCAATTGGAAAAGTGCTCGTCGGTCGTAAGGAAAACTGATGTGTAACCTGGATGAGGTTGAATTTTGTAGCCAAATTCGATGAATATTTGCTTTCATTTGAAAGATATCGTGATAGAGAAACACTAGTCCTTTTCCATTCGCCATTTCAGGTCTTTCTGTATTTTAAAATTTTCTTGGCTGTGCTAAACTGTGATGATCGTTTGAGACGATACTACATGAAACTACTTACTGATTAACTCCCACACAGTGACAACAATCTTCCTTTGATACGGATTCAATTTCGAGAACAGTGTTTTGATCTTGGTTTGGTTTGGTTTGTTTTGTTTTACGTCATATCAACCTCAATGGGTCATTTAATGCCGACAACGTTTTTTTTTTCTCCTGGTAATATTTTTGCTTTGTCAAAAATCTATTTCAGTTAATATTTTTTCCCAAAAATGTATAGCTGGCAATATTATTTTTTCAAAACGTATAGCTGGTAATATTTTTTCAAAAACCTATAGCTGGCAACATTATTTTTTCAAAAACGTATAGCTGGCAACATTATTTTTTCAAAAACGTATAGCTGGCAACATTATTTTTTCAAAAATGCATAGTTAGCAACATTATTTTTCAAAAACGTACAGCTGACAACATTATTTTTTCAAAAACATATTGTCAGAGGCCTTGTTGTTGGACGTAGTTTATCGTCATACCCAGGACGCGGATGTCGTTTATCGTCTTACCCTGGACGCGGATGTAGTTTATCGTCTTACCCAGGGTGCGGATGTAGATTATCGTCATACCCAGGACGCAGATGTAGATTATCCTCATACCCAGGACGCAGATGTAGTTTATCGTCTTACCCAAGACGCGGATGTAGTTTATCGTCATACCCAGGACGCGTTTGGATCTTGCTTGTCGGTTTGGGCAATATGGAGAATAGTGTCATATTTGTCGTCATCGGTCATAAGAGATAAACAAACGCGGAACGACGGAATTTTTAAAAGAAAATTTTATTCAAGACACATTGTTGGAGTTTTGTTTTCTGAATTACCAATTTGGTACAAATATTGAATGACAGTTTAATAATCAGTTTTTTTATCTCTTCTACAAGTTCCGGGTTTGTTTTTGTTGCATGTTTTATTCAATAATGACTTTCAATTCCTTTGCCGTCATTCCCAGAAGGACGTCACATCTTGTCTTCAAAACGTTCGTATCTTTTACAAACGATGTTGAACCAATATCGGTCACAATGTTTTTTAATGGTTCCATGGCCAAATATTAGGTTGAGATTGTCAGCATTTTCCGCTGTTTTATATCCTATGCTAGATTCTTGCAATAAAATCTCACGAATTGACAGTTTGCAGTAAATAGCAATAAACAATGATGAAAAAGATGTTGGTGTAATGCAATAGAAAGACATTGGCATTTTCAAACAATAGCGTTATGTTGTCAGTTTAGTGACATAGAAATTGCTAAGTTAAATTCCTGTACCGCACTGTAATCACAGGGACTCAATGGATACAAAGTGAGGAATAACTGAGCAGTTCTAAAAATAAGAACTAGAAGAGATATCCCTAGACATGGGTAGAGGCACGAGAATAATCTACCCCCGCAGATTAAGTAAAGTCCTCAGTCCGAAATTCCCTATAGGTTATCGACATACACCTGATGTAAGATCAAGGGCACAACGGTTGAAACGTCGTGATAACAACAACAAAGATGAGGACAACCGTCCGCATATAAATAGTGTAAATATTAATAAAATTAACTTGAAAAAATGGTAACTTGTTGGCACGACTTCATATCATATAAAATAAAAAGTATAAATCACTAGGATATTTTTATTTTATATGACATGTCCCTTCATGAGATGAGTGATCATGTCTCTCCACATCTTCCTATTCTTTGTAGATCTGAGCAGTTCTTCCCCTTTACTATCCTCTACTGCGAACAAACAACGAGGAAATAATAAAGACATAATGAACAATATAAAAAAATAGCAAAACAAACTCAACATATTATCTTCTTCCCATGTAAAAATGGTAATAGTGAGACCTTAGCTGAGAAAGATAGATTGAATTGATTATCCTGAGCGCTTGGATCAATCCGAATTCTTAGTACAGTAGAATTCCTGACAACCAGACTAAGAATACCTTCCGGATATGAGGAATTGAGTACAAAGCCCGGATATGAGGGGTTATATTTATATAAAAATAAAAGAACTGAAATCAGGTTTAACATTTATTTTCAATGTTTTCTAGTAAACAAAATAAGCTAATGGTGAGTGTAATATAATGGAATTGATTTTAAGGAAAAAGAAATAAATTATGTAATGTTAATGAAAATTCATTAAATTAAGTATGCCATGTATGCAAAAAAAATAATGTCACAAGGATTTTTTAATCGCCGTTGCATGATGATTCTTTCTCTTCTAATGTCATTCTCAACTTTTTCCTGCATTTCGTTTTGCTTTTGTTCTTGAATTTTTTTCGAAAGAAAGACACTTGTTAACTCTGCGTACGTTATTGCAATCATCATAGCTGAATGCTGGCTTTCTTTCCATAAAACTGACAAGCTTTTCAAATGCTTATTTAAATTTCAGTCCAGATTTCATCACAATTATATATCCCGCCGCTATCTTGTTGCAGATGTGTCTCGTCATCCTTTCCGTTTATTCCCATCATCTTTTGCACCAACACAAGCCATTAGGGTGAAATAAGACTAAGCAACTATCCACAGTAAATGTCATGAAAAACAGAAATTTTAAATAAGTTCCATATCACCCAAATAGTTCAAATCTACACATCAAAATCATGGCTAAAATGAAATGCCTCTTTCTGATTGATTTGTAGCTTAATTGGTAAAAGTACTATTACAGAACGAATAATTGGTAAAAGCACAGTTAGAGAACGACAAATTTCCAAGACAAGGAATATGAATTGGAATATCATCAGCGTATTCTTTATATCCAACACGGATTGCTATCTTAATGGCCATGAAAGAATTTTCTGGAAATTGCGATAAAAATCAACAGAACATAGGAGGAAGGAAATATATGAAAATTATTTAAAATAGATCAGAAAAAAGTCGTATGAAACATGAAGAAGACAGTCGTAGCCTATTAGTCATTAGTTTTTAAAATACCAAGAAAGACATTTTGGTGTGAATGGGGGGGGGACTTGCTGACGCTTAATGGCCATTAAAAATAAGCAAATAATACTGATGCAAAAATTAATTGAATAATATTGGTTGAAAATAAATGACCAAATCTTGTTTATCTATCTATCTAGCTAGCTAGCTATCTGTCTCAGTCTGTTCATATCTATCTATCTATCTATCTATCTATCTATCTATCTATCTATCTGTAGATGACACAACTATTTGTCCTTGCCTTGTGATAAGTCTCCTAGTTTAGATAAAGTGAAATTGAAAGCTCGTCTCGAAAATGTCTTGGAATCTGTTGTTAACTGAGGCAAGAAATGGGTTGCTAGTGTTACGGCACCTATACTAAACTGCTCTCTTTTAATCAAATAAGAAACTCTTTTTCGTCCTGCATCATCCTGGCTGATGCTAACCTCCAGCTTATTGCGCTTTCTCAGCCTAACAGACTCCACTGAGCCGATTAATAAGTCTCCTGCTAACAAAGTTGGTTCATTGTATAAAGCTGTCTGACAGCTTTATAAGTCTACCATTCGTCCATACAATAAATATTGCTGCCACATTTGGCCTGGTACTTCTACTGTGTATGTAGAGATTCTTGATACATCCAATGAAGAATATGCAATTTCATCCGTCCTCTCCTGGCATCTCGGTTTCAACCCCTCTCCCGTCGCCGTAACGTAGTTTTCCGGTGCCTTTTCTACAAATATTTTCACGGCAATTATTCCCATGATCTTTCCGGCGTCGTACCTTGACTTTGCGAATTTAAACGTAGTACTAGATTGGTACCAAGATTCTATCATTTCACTATTTAACATGGTAGAGGATACCGTAAGTTCTACATTGACAGTTTCTTCTCTCGCGTACCTCGTCTGTAGAACTCTCTTCCGACTTCTTTGCTTTTCCGTTAATTCCGATATTTACAGATTTCAATAAATTGCCTTCCTCCTTCTCCTTGCATCATATTCTTTTACGTCCATCTCTCCTCACATTTTCTTTCACTTTACGTAATCCTTTGCATTTTAGTGGCTTTATCTCCTTGTTTGAAGTGAATCATTAAAAACAAAATCTATCTATGTAACGTAATCTTTTAAATTCCCCTTACGAAACATTCAGTCGCATTAGCAATTACAATAAATTAAATGTCGCTTTTCCCTGCAGGTGATTGACCGGACGTTGACAACAAATATCCGAATTCGATTTGCGAGATTGTCGAATCGCCTCCGTGAACAGCCATCGTTTCTTTGCACTCATTACTCAGAGTCTATTTTATCACTTATATGCATTGCTCTTAATCATGTTACATCATCACTTTTTTTTCCACTGTAGCCGGTCTTAATACCGATGTGTTAAATTTCTGTCTCCCTACTGAGGTCAAATCATGCTCTTGAAAATAAACGTGTTATCGGAAATTCCCCGATAGTAGATGCTGGGATTGTAATATTCAACGGAAATGCACGCACGACTAACGCCCATTCGTCCCTAACAGACACGGTCTACCGTGTTCAGTTTTATACACGGTGTTTTGTAACATTATTTTTGAATGTTATATTGATTTGCTATCTGATGCATAATTATTATTTGGAAAGCATTAAGCTGTTCGCGTATTTACTATTTGTAAAGGACATTTTGCGTAATTTCTGTTTCCAGAGACCTTCAGTTACTCCTGTGTATATTTTTCTTCGTTATCTACTGATTTTACAAAGTCTTGGTATATCATATTGTTTTGCAGGTAATTGCTATTTAAGGGTAAATCGTTACTAGCTCTACAGTTACAGGTGGGTATAGTTTGTGCGGATGCTTTGTTGGTTATTTTTCTATAGTGCCTTTTTACTATTTGTGTCATGTTTTCTGTACAATTGTAGCTTAATTTAACTGTGTTTCTGTTGAATGTCTTGTGAAGAGAACGTGTTCTGGCAATTGTACCCCACAAAGTTACAATGAGCAAGTGAATCAAGGTAGGCATCTTGCGAGATAATATTAGCTCCGTTTTTTGTTAAAAAAATTAAATCCTTTTGTTTGTAGAGTATGGAGTAGTAAAATACTGTCTTTCGTGTTGTGCTCTCCAAGTCGCAGGTCTTAAGGCCATGAGCTACTCTGAAGACATACCCCACGATCTCTGCTGTAAGGATAAGATCTAAAGGAATATAGGTTATTATATTTGGGGCTGCCTTGGCCGAAAAGTTAACAATGATGGAATCCAACTGCCTTCGATGCTTCAATCCGGATTTCTGTCTGGATTTACGTCCATAGCCTTTTCCATATTTTGGATATTGCTTCAAGGTAGCAGATATTTCAGATTCAGGGTCCCCTTCCTCTAGATAAACTGTCTTCCCAGACTGTTCAGCTTCATCTGTCAAAGTCTTTCTATGGGAAATTCTGCTGCGTGACAACACCCGTCTTAAGATTGTAATTTTCACTTATCTAGGATGGTAAGTTCTTTGATAAAGGAATTCTTTTTCAGACTTTTTTCTTTAATAAAGTCGCTTAATCGGCGGGTCTAACTTTTGCAGAGACTGAAAAATGACTTGGTGAATTCAACTATCATCGAATCTCTCTTTTTTATTATAAAATGTACACTTGAGATGAAAAGTGACCCCAGGTCAGAGAAAACCATAGAAATAATCCGATGGCGGGATAATCGTTTATATGAGTAAAAGGTCTCATGCTAGAAATTTTTCACCAACAAAACCTGATAGAACGTGCAGTTGAGTAAAAACGTGATGCAAATTGATAGAAAAGCCAGGAAAATATTTTTAATGGCTTAATTATGATAGGATGAACTGACAACAATAAAATATTTTGTCATAAGTATGCAAGGGACATTTAGCATATATTTTGTTTTAAGGAGTTTGAATTGCAGACTGAATTAATGTTGTAATAATTTTTCATTCTTCTGCATAAAAGAAAGAAAAATTAGAGAGATCAAGAGAGAGAGAGAGAGAGAAATTTGAAGATAGAGAGTGCGAAAATATCATAACGTGTCAAGAGCATGTTATAAATTTGTGAGTGGCACAGTAAAGCATTTTTACAATGCTACTTGAGGAGTTGATTTTTTACAGCAATTCAAATAAAACCAGATTCATAACATGTTTCTTCTTGCCAGCGTGTCAAAGGGATACAAAATCCTCATGAGTGACGTTTTTATTGCTCTTGTCTTTGACCATTGCAATGATCATGAGTAGTCAAATATTTAGGTAGATATATTTATCACTTAATTTCTGACATGGAAACTGTAATCAGAAGGTAAATTAGTTAAAGAAGCTCACACCGGGTCTATCTGGACGGTATCTAGCGATATAATATTAAAAAAAATTAGCCTCTCTAGAACAATGTCGTTATTGTCCACTTCTGTTCTTGTACCCCGGGTGATAGTCCAAGGTAGAACCAATAAAGAAGAACTCGAACACGGATATGGAATAACACAGATATATTACAAACAGGAATATATACAGAGAAGTAGAAAGTGTTAGTATGAACAATCAGGTTTAGTAGCAATTGTCTGAACGCGACTCTCGGACTGCCTCTGACTCGACTGACTGACTGACTGTCTCGCTCGCTCTGGCAGACTCCTGACGGACTTCACTCCAGACTTCAGACTGAACAGTATTTAGTCACCCCCACAACGAGGGCATCATGTGGCACAAGGCCGGTTTAACGTGGGATCTACGAGCCCGTGGGCTCGGCCAAAAATATGCCCTTTGAACCCGTATAAACGGGTTCAGGGTCGGTTTACCTCCCCGAAAGAGACTCTAGCCTCGTTCGGGTTCCTCCCCGCCCGAAGGCAGAGAGTTCAACCGATCAGCCGGTCAGCCGGTCGTCCAACTTCGGACTGAATTCCCTGCTTCCTCTTGAGGCGCAGTATTTATTACGTATGGAATAGTCCATTATGTTATTATGGATAAGGTCCCATAACAACTTCATTGTCCAAAAATGGAATATTCTTATCATATCTTGACTGAAGTTGCCCAGTCCTCACTTTCAAGCCTCGATCTAGTCCCGAGTCGACTATTCGGATTTGTGTGTGAGGAATTCTTTTGCAACCTCCTCCAACCTCTTTCTCATTGACAAAACGCAGTTCTCTCACCGTTACCCTATCGCTCCGTTCATAGAAAACGTTTCAGACGAGAATCGAACATATTGTATTCGAAATTCAACAAGAGTAACGTTTTAATTAGACGCATATGCACCACAGAAGAAGCAGTAACGAGTGAGTCAACCCGTGAGAAACGAAATCACCTCGACTGTAGTATTATGCAGGGCGTGTGTGTTAATCATTACTTTATAACGATTCGACATTTCAGCTTATAATGCATTATACCAGGGGTGGGGCGATAGATTGATTCGTTTTTTACGGCTTATTAACGTTTTGAAAGTTATACCAAATCCAAAAAATAGTTTCACATTGTAAGAATGGTTTAGAAATAATAATGATTTTTACTGGTCCAAGTTCTACTAATTAACCCATAGATAGGAGGAAAAGAGTTGGATTCATACCTTTCCCAAGAGAATTTGCTCATAAGTGCATGTAACGACCCCGATTGAAATTCGAACTCGCCTCTCCCGAGACGTTAACCATTGCATCACCAACACATCCAAGATCTCATTATCTGATATTCCCAAACAGTCACTTGTTTGGTTTGGTTTACGGCATATCAACCTCAATGGATTATTTAATGCAGACAAGATTTTATTGCTGGTAATATTTTTTTCCTTCAAAAATACATAGCTGGTAATATATTTTTTTTTTCAAAAACGTACTGTTGATAATAATTTTTCTTCAAAAATTTATTGTTGATAATTTTTTACAAAGTATTGTGGGAATTAAAGCTATTTTTATATTTTCGTAGTGTTTTGACCCTATTTGGTGGAGTATCTATTTGCCCATATCACCACCACGGGTCAGGGTGGACCTGGAAACACTAGCGATTAAGAAGTGTTTCCACACTCCTCAAAACCTCCTGATCAAAGGCCTTGCTGTTGGACGTAGTTTATCGTCTTGCCCAGGACGCAGATGTAGTTTATCGCCATACCCAGGAGGGAAGTCACTTGTCTAGGAACCGTTCAGACCTGACGTCGCTTGACCTCGCTGATCGTACGAAAACGTTTAACATGATATGACTGTAAGCCTACCAGAATGATTCCTTTAAGTCCTTTTTATTGATGGACTTAAGATATTGGATCAAGCGAGATAAATGACTACAGGTGA